GAGAGGAGCTAAAGAAAAAAGAAAGAAAAGAAAAGCTAGAAAAGTCAAGATATATAAACGAGTGGAAAGAACTGAAAGAAGAAATGAAAAGGTATAGGTTAAAGGAAATTCAAGGAGAGGGAAGAATAAAAGGCCTGCAAATAAGGGAAAGGTTTAGGTTAGGTAATGAAACGAGAGGAAGCAGGTATTGGGAAAAAAAAAGAAAATAAGAGATGCAGAATGTGTATGAAAGAGGAAGATAATTGGAAGCACATGGTAGAAAAATGTCAAAAAAGTAGAAAGGAAGGGGAAGTATGGGAAAAAATAATAATAGGAAGCAAAGAAAAGATAGCGTGGATGATGGAGATAAAATGGAAAAGAAGAAGAAATGAAGAGAAGAAAGAAAAAGAAAAGCAAGAAGACGAAGCTATAAGACCCTAAGGAGAGACGGAAACAGAAGACAGAGAAGCAAGACTTGCAGACACATCTACACACACATACATACACACACATACACACAAAACACAAACATACGCGCAAACATAAACATACACATGCACACACACACACACGACACAAGTAACAGCAACTACACAAGCGAGAGGAAGTAGGTATTGGAGGATGGAGCAAAATGGAAAAGAAGAAGAATCGAAGAGGAGAAAGAAAAAGAAAAACAAGATGAAATTTTAAGACCCTAAGGACAGAAGGTAACAGACGAGAGAGACGCAAGACTCGCAGACACATTTACATACGCAAACATACACACAAAACACACACACACGCAAACATACACATACACACACACAATATACAAGTACTAGCAACTACATATGAGAGAGGAAGCAGGTATTGGATGCAGGAACAAAAATGGAAAAGAAGAAGAATCGAGGAAGAGAAAGAAAAAGGAAAACAAGAAGAAAAATTATAAGATACTACAGAAAATAAGTGAGGTTGAGGAAAGGAAAGGCAGAGGGGGTAATAGGAGATGAGAGAAAGGTGTAAAGCCCTAACAAGGAGAAAGACAGATTAAATGATTAGCAAGAAAGAGAGCAAAAGCAAAGTAAAGGCAAAGGTGTAAAGGCAAAAGAAAGTAACAAAGGAAGAAGTCGGAAAAAATAAGTAAGAAAGAGAAAAACAAGAGCGGAAAAGGCAGATCTAGATTAGAGAGAGGAAGAGAAGATTAATCAACAGAAAAATGAGAAGAAAAGCTGAACAGACAGAAGCAGGAGACAGGGACGCAAGAGTTGCAAAAAGAAGAGTTGTTGAGTTTTATAGCTTTTCTTCTAGTTCTTTTCCTTCTTTTTTCTTTAGCTCCTCTCTTATTTCTTTCCAAAACTCTTCTCTTATTTCGTCTCCCTCCTCCCTCTCTCAGTATATTTTACTTTTTTCTAGCCTTTCCTCTTTCTCCTCCTTATCCTTACATACCTACATACGTACACATATACACAAAACACACACACACACACACACACACACAAAACACATACATTATCAATTACACAAACTGGACACGAGACACAATCGTAATATAAGAAATGAAAACCAAATGTAACATATAAGTTGTAAATAAATAAATTTTATATATATATATGTATACACACACACATACATACATGTGTGTATGTGTGTGTGTGTATACTTGGATAAAAGATTGACATAGAAAGAACATATATTCACAAAACGAAAATAACTGAGATTGAAATGGCTCATTGGAGCAGAATTAGAGATATCAATCAAACATAATCTTCTATTTTAAAAAGTTGTATTTAAACCAGTCTGAACCTACAGTATTTAACTTTGGCGAGCCGCTTTGAATTTATATGCTTAAAAAAGATTTCAATCAAAAGTCCTACCTAACTTCGTACACGCGCCGTGATTCATTACAAACGAAGTTATCCGAAATAATTTACAGAATGTATCAGTAAAAGAAGAAATTGAAAATTTTTACGTAAAATACAATATAAGAGTACGAAACCACTCAAACAAACTGATGAGCAAATTTTTCTTGGAATAAAATACAATCACTTGACTCAAGAAATATAAAATAATGATAGCATAATCAAACCTCAAGATAATAACCACATAAGTACGCACAAATTTCAAGACCAAGATAGAATGCTCACTAAAGTACTCTGCTGAATACATGTAAAGATATCTGTATAACAATGAAATTTACCTATTGTCTTTATAAATAATAGATAAACTGTAAGCTTTGGAGTAAATAAAAAAAAGTTATACAATTCAAATGACAAAATGGTTATAAATCAGAAATTTAGAAAAATAGAAAAATAGAAATATTTAAAAAACTCACCAAAGCTTATACCTAAAATGGTATGATAGTTTTTCAATAGATACAGTCTCTAGTGTGCCACTTAATGTATAGAATCCAGTTGATAACAAAATCAATAAATTTACGCTTGGATAATTTGAAAAGCGCATAGCTGTAAAGCGCATCAGTAACTAAGAGATGCAAATCATTAACGCAATAAAACCCAATCCAACTTAAATAAAATAGCTTATAATTAATTAATATTCACCGTACTAAAGCAATGCTCATCATAATAGAATTAGCACTTTTACATGCAGCACGCCAAGAATGAAACAAGCTAGATTAATCAACCGACACTAATTGAACTCCAAATTGGCTAGGAAAACAACAAAAACAGCTAAATTAACAGATGAAAAAACAGTCTTCTACGACTCTAAAATGAATCCAATTAAAGAAGAGCCCAGTACTACTCTATATTGATAGCACTATGTTAGCCTTATTAGTGAGCGTAGATGTTAAGGGTTGATTTAAATAGTATAACTGTAATGAAAATCATTCCAGACCACTAATATCGTCAAATTGCTAAAATATATCTGCAAAAATGCAAAAATTTCAGTGAGTCATAAGCAAGATCTTTGACCTGCAACAATTCACTCAACAGAGTAAAAAATTAGATTAGAATCCAAAATATCCCGGGAGTGAGTTAATTAACATGTTAAACGAACACTTACTAGAGAGCAAAAGGATAAACATTAGCAGTCTATCAAAAAAGGAAAGAACGACAGTTACGGCAGAACATGCGATGGCTAAGAAAAAGTGACATAGGCAACGGATCCAGAATAGCAGAGAAAAAAACTCAACGAAAACACCAACTATAGAAGTGGAAAAGTTTTCAAACGTTGATGTTTAACCGGTAATCCGGCAATCATCCAAACTTTTCTCCTTCTAGTAGCATTGACCAATGACCACCTCCGATCTTCCACGTAGCGAGTCCATAGCTCAAGTCATATAGGTGGTTCAGTGGATTTTGGCTGTTTCTGTAGAGGATGATCGTGACAACTATACGTCTGGCATATTTTCACAATCACTCTTTATGCGACGAATTATGGGATAAGTAAACATCGTATCGCGGCGTATTACGCTGATGAAGGCGAGAGCTATGAGCCTAATTTTTTTTCTCTCTCCCTCTTTCTCTTTCTTTCTCACACTCTCTTTTTCTTTTTTTCTTTTTCTGTTATAACAATTTAATACATTGTTTCATATCATTGTATGCGCATCTGTCGATTTTTTATTCGTTATGATATAATGTTCTATGTAGTCTGTTAAATAGTGTTTTAATTTATTATTTCTTTTTTCTCCTCATATTATTTCTATCATTAAATTTATTATTCTCACCGGTGATTAGTTCGATTTCATTTAGAGTTCATAGTCAGCTTTAGTTACTAGTTAGTACGGGCTAATATGTTTGATTGAATTTGCATTATCTCACTTAAAAAAAAATCGCACGCGGTTAATTTATCGCACCATTTGTTGATTTTATTCCACACTATATTTATTGATATGACATATGTAAATAATGTTATATGTGGTCTATTTTCAGGGAATCAATATAAATTGAATACCAAGCAGTTATAGATATCAGAATGTTACATTAATGAAATTAGAAAAGTTGGATGAAAGTAAATCTCTTGAAAATACTGGTTAGTTCAATATTGAAAAAATATAGCTTTGATGTATCATTGTCACTTTTAATGATTTGAGGATTTACTTAAAACTGCAAAAAATTATGAATGTGAAGCATAAACTTATTTCAACATGATCGAGAGATCATCTTAATACAATAATACAAAATATGATCGAAATTGGTTTCGAACCTTCAAACTAGAATTTACATCTACTTAGTTACCAATATCTTACGTAATTATATTAGATAAACGTAAAATGCAATTATTTTATTTTATTGAAAAATGTATTTCTATATTTTTTTGATCCTATAACTTATACCAACGTAAATTTCTTTAAATATGTGCGATTGTAGTTATGATATGTTGCATTAATCAACTGTTTTTTGACCTTAGACTTCGCTAAAACTGTAGGTTGACCTCATCACATAGCAGTTTCCTGTTATATAATACTAAATGGTTTAGTGAACCTTTTTATTTTATAATCTATGCACTGTGTTTTACAGACTGATTTTTGCTATATTATATTATTGTTTTCAGCTAGATGGAGTCCACCCGAAAGTCCAATAAAAATCAATCTAACCTAATCTTTCTTATCTTACTCTTTCTTCTCCTCGCATCTCTCTCTTTCTCTCTTTCTTTCTCTCACTCTCTTTCTTACTCTTAGGTATAGCCAAGATATTGAAATTCAAAGAACTCCACCGCATGCCGCGTGTCTCACTATCGTGGATTTAATTTAACTCTTGGTAAATTACACTAACTGAAACGAAATATACTTGACGTGTCTTGATTTCGTTAATATATTTACTCTTGAAATTTAAACACACTTTATCTGTATAATATATTTCTCGTAGTTCACAGTTCATTTAATGAAATTGCGATATGTATTCTATAACAAAATTACGTTGTTCTGGTGAATAAATTACTTTACTATCTATACTTATTTTTGTCTTTTTCTAGTTGAAAGTAGTAATATTCTGAACTTAGAAATCAGCCTAAACTTTTTTTATTGACAATTAGTAGATTATTAATAAGATTACATATATCACATATTATAAATTTTTGCTTACCCATAAAAGTGTCCTCTTACAAATTCATGAATTTTCTCTTTATTCACAGCGTGAAGATTCTGAAATTCATGCAAGGCAGAAAACTTCTTTACGTTTAATCCATTTGGCGTTATAATGTCTGGTTTTCTTTTAAGAAGATGTTCGGCTTCTAGTCCTGTAATATCTGATACAGTAGTAAATGTATGTGATAAATGAGCCGCAGCTCTTTCCATGCAATATCGATGATAGATTTGACGTTTCCCAGCTTCTTCATCAACGTTGAACTGATAAAGATACAATTAAATATAATAATGAATATACTTAACCTTTAGGTATTTTTGATTACATTTAAAGAATAAAATATACGTAATAGTAATATCTATAGTTCTATCTACCATGTGTGGGGAATGAGCGGGCAATAAATGAGTATATTTGCAATTGATTAAGATCATTTACTTGTATCTTCATAAGAACTCTCAGAATTTTAGCTAGACTCAACTAATGTAATATTAATCAAAAAAGTTAAACATTTATATAAGAGCAAGTCTTACGAGAGATTAGTCAGAATCACATCGGTTCAGCAAATTTTTGCAAACAGTAAATCTTTGCAAACAGAAAATCTTTGTAAGTAGACCTATTGAGTAATAGCTGCTAAATTTCCGTTGGGCAAAAAAGTACACGCACGCATGTTATGAGAAATGTATGGAGCCGTCAAATAAAGTTGAAAAACCAAGTATGTATCACAAATGAACTAAAAACTATATTTTTGTTCACAAATAAACTATGCACGCACATAATATACTGGATGTTAGACGTGCACCTTTAGCTCATCTTTTAAAATATTCGAATTACACTCGCAAATGTTCTTTATAAAATTGGTATCGACCACACGTAGCAGTGCTGTTGTCTGTTGAGTGTTGGGATGGTATAATGCTCTTAAGATGTACGCGTGTTTTTGCACTACAGGAAATCTATTTTTCGAACCCATCACAGGTATACTACTTGAATCTAATTGTCACTATGTATACCTTTTAATTATTTTTGAGAAACGCGAATGTTTCGTTGACCGTCTTCGGGAAATATTCACCTGCATACGGAAAATATCCACTTGCATTTGGGATTCTTCCGAACCCTGTATCATACATATAGTCAGTGTATATAAAAAAAATTTATCACAAATACCATTTTACTTGTTGCATGTGAAGACAGAAATGAAAAGGCGTTTCTATCGCACATTCATAACGACAACTGATCGACACATAGATCAATTATTTGATATTCAATCGGATTCAAATGAGTGTGTCAGGCGCTTGTGGAGCACTTTTACGGTAGCTGAGTCACAAAGCTCTGTAACGTCACAGTACATAAAAAGTGACGTTGTACATCCGCTGCTAATGATTAATGTAATATATGCACGTTCTGATGAGCGCACCGACATTCGATCCTCTGATATAATAGAGGGTAAAAGGTTAACAACAACAGAAAAAGTAAAGTTATCAAAACGTGCTTTATTAAATATAATACAAATATTTACATGGTATTTATGTTTTTTTAATTTAGTTAGTTAAAAATAAATTAGTTATAATTTACATGATAAGTATATTACGTTTGATTCATATCAGTACATTAATTCCATGTTTGTTTAACTAAGAGCAAACAGCGTTTTATATTTTTTTTAATCTAAATTTTGGTGTTGTGTGCATTAATTGCTTTGCTAGTCAATTTGGATGTTTCGATATCTTATTACCATATTTTCTGTAACTGTTTCAATTTCTTCTCTTACAGTAGTTATATTGTCATTCTCTCTTATGTACTTATTTGAGACTAACCATGTGCATCGGTGATGGATCATAGTACATTATTTTGAATCTTTCTATTATATCAATGTTTGACTTTGTAATAGTACCCTAGATTTATATGCTATATATTTATAGTGGTTTAATTATTATGGATTTATATATAAGTAGTTTATTTTTGATTGACAGTTTGGATTTTATTCCTAGTAACAAGTAATATATTTTTATCTGTATATTCAGTTGTTTTCATTTAGACCATATACGGTCTCTTCACATTACTATTTTTTTACAATTTTTAGATAATATAGACAGCAGTTGGTCTGTATAACGTAACGTACTGTAACGGTCATACAGTTTTGTTATCAGTATTATTGTTGTTATTTTCTGTTGAATTATATCTTTTTTAAAAAGTTCTTTGAGTAACATTGGATTTATTATATTGTGTCCAGAGTTCTTTTTATTTTTTAGCTGATGAATTATGTAGTTTATTTCTTTTACTTCAGTATTATCAACTGAGTAATTATTACTATTTTTACTTTGCATACAGCTTAATAAAATTTGTTCTTCATCTTGTGGCGGGGAACTTCGGGGGATCTCAGCCGCACTTTTGGAACACTTCCGTCACAAGGCCTGATTGGCCCTTTTCCCCCGATTAATTATAAAGGCACCAGACCGCCGTTCCTAAAATAGAGCGATCATCGGGGGTAGGGCCTGAATATAACAAGGCATGGCTCTGTTCGTCCACAGTGCGACTGCGCAGCGTGGGGGCTTGACGTCGTCATAGCGATTTTCTGGGTATCAGGCCGATGGTGTCCAACAATTGTCGATTTATATTCATCATCTCGCGTCCTTGAAGTGCCGGCAGCTCAGGATATAACTCCTCATCTCGGATCAGAGATTCGTTCGATTTCGTGCGTAAGTTACTTAATTTCGGAACCAGAAATTGCAAACAAAGAATTCTCGTTATCAACCGTCCGCGGCTTAAAATAATATCAGCATGCAGAGAAGGAAGGCTTAACGAGGCGTAAAATTAAGAAAATTGGTCACACTTGACTTTTCTTTATTCTGAAATTAAAGTACAATTACTGTCGGAATGACGGATGGTCAGCGCGACTTGACGCGACTCAATGCGCGGCGAAACAGATACACACGTTCCGGCGAATTAAATCTACGACAGTCTAACACTCTCGATCCCCGAATTCGTAACTGTAATTCACTACCTCGATATCTAAAGTCCTTTTTTTTTTCGATCCTATCACTCACGCTAATTCGAAAAATGGCGGATGGTCATCGCGACTTGATAGGAGCACTAAATTTCCGGTGTCGACGAATCCACGTGTCGTGATGGTATTATTTGCACGAGAAAAATCACGCACCGCATTTCACAATCAGTATTAGTGAGTCGCATTTTTCCTACTTACAGATTTCTGCTGAAGAACCTGACAAACGGGAACTGTGGCAGTGAATCTGGGAAAATTGCTTTCTCTCAATGTAGTGATCAGCGGCAAAATGGACGAGAAACGGCTTTTCGCGGTCAAAGATCATTTTTCCGCTCCTCTTTCCGAGAAGAATTCCTATTATTGGCAGATATGCGAATTCGGATATCGGTAGCGCACTCTGAATATTTCGTCATTGGTCAATATGTAATTTAGAAAAGAACAGTGCCTTCATTTTATCTCCTCCTATTGTCGCTATTTATCCTCTCTCGCCCCCCCCCCCCACTAAGTCGACTAGCATTGATTGATGAGAAAGATCTACCCCTACTCTTATTTATTTCGATGCGGACGGAAATCGAATTTTATTCTGATTCGCTTATTGGTCGTGACGTCACCAGCGAGTTTCGTCAGAATTTCGAATTTCATCAATCAATTTATCAATTTAATTCGTCAAAATGCTTGACACTAATTAATACATTTAAGGGACTATAGCGGTCGCATATAAGTATTTTATATTTTAATATGTTCCATGTATAAGTTGCATCGCTAAATTATTTGTAGTGATAAAATAATTGTAAGTCGGCCTTATTTTCGTAGCACCCTCATCATCGCATTTGCATTTGAATCTGTATAATATTTATTTTAGTTCGCTCGCTTTATATGGTCTGCCTCGCTCGCTCTCGCTTAACCTGACTCGCTCGCTCTTGTTTAGTCTGTCTCGCTCGCTCTTATTTAGTCTGTCTCGCTCGCTCTTGTTTTGTCTGTCTCGCTCGCTCTTGTCCAGTCTGTCTCGCTCGCTCTCATTTAGTCTGTACCGCTCTTCATGATGGCCACCTTCGCTCCCGCGTGTCAACCTCGTACTTTGTTGCTGGTCTCCGAAGCGTCTCCTGGAGCGTTCCCTTTTGGTTGTGTGATACAAGCGTGTGCCCGGGTGTTGCGTGTGTATGTCTCCGGGTGTTGTCAGTGATCGGCAGCAGTGTCAGTGTGTGTGGAGCTCAGAATGTCCGATGGTGCGCAGCAGCCTGACAAAGTTGATTACCGGTTGCGCTTCATCGACGATTTTCTGTTTGCCCCAGGTGTGCCAGCATCTCCAGAGTGTTTGTGTCAGCGTCGGGGAATGTAACGGATCTGCATATACCACTATCACGCATATCCGTTGCACTTTCCAGTCAAGTTTTGGTGATTTTATTTCCAGCCGGCAACACGTGGTTGGGAGTGTATATGCGTGCACTCTCTTTTTTCTCATGATGCGCTCCATTTTTCAGTCCTCCGTCGGATCGCGTTCTTCAACTTGTTACGTTGTTTTCTCGAGTTTGGGTAGACGCATATGAAAAAGAATTAGTGTTCGAATTAGGGCGCACATGGGTTATAATAATCCGACTGGTTACGTGGCGGCAAGGGACATGGATGGCTTTCCTGAGGTGTTGGAAATAATGCAACACTCTCAGGCAAAGCCTTGTAATGTTACCGCATTACAATCTTCTGTTTTTTGCGTTGTGGGGGTTGAATATATTTTGTAAATATTTGACAAATATGTTAGCTATATAAATACTTGTTTTAGACACGTCATATCATTTTTTTTAAATAGAAATAGAGAATTTTTAAAGATATTTTATTTTCTTAGTTGCTTTCCAAAACGAAAATCAGTGGCTCCAATTACAGTTAAGTTAGTTCGGTAGTTACTTATAATTTCATTTTTTTAATCGTAAAGAATATTTTCAGGTTCATTAATAGACGGATTATATTTTGCTTTATCACTTTATAATCTGGACTGTTGCCATATTTTTCTTAATTTTATTTTTACGTTAGTTTTGTCAGATACTATTCTCGAAATAGTTCAATTTCTTTTTTTATTTATTGAATACATAGAAGTTGCATTTTTAATGGCTTTATAAATGTTGTTATTTAATTCAATCGCCATATCGATATCTTGTTTTCTTTTTAATAGTACATCACATAAAAGGTTTTGGTTTGTTACTGCTTTATAAAATTTTCAATTCATTTTTTTATTGTACAAAGGGCCATTTTTTAAGTTTGTTTTAATTACACAGA